CCCCAAAACCCCAAAACCCCAAAACCCCAAAACCCCTTTGATAAAAGTTTTCAGCTAAATATTTATATTAAATATGAATAAAGGCCCTAAATACACCAAAATTTATTGTGGAAAATTCTTCCTATTCTCACTAATGATACTATTCTACTTAATACATGTTGAGGCACAGGTAGATGAATACTGGAACATGGGTTTAGGAGAAAGAGCCGAAGCACTCGGGTTCGGGTATGAAGAACATCAAGTGACTACTGAGGATGGCTACATCTTAACCTTAATGAGAGTTCTACCAGGCTCTCAAAGTGCACAACTAGAAGTAAATCAACCAATATTATTATCTCCTCCATTTATGCAATCTAGTGAGTCATTTGATCCATTAGGTTCAGAAGATTCTCCTGCTTTTTATCTTGCAAATGAAGGAAAGGATGTCTGGCTATTCAATATTAGAGGCTCATCATTTAGTCGTGAGCATGTAAGTCTTGACCCTTCTACAGATGATGAATACTGGGACTTTTATTTGGATACAATAAGGTATGATTACATGGCTTGAATTGAGTTTATCCTTGATACCACAGGCTTTTCTATAATGCCAGTTTTTGCAATGTCATTTGGAGGAGCTACGTTTTCTATTTCATTAGCTCTAGAACCAGAATTCTTCTCTTCTAGAATATCAGTAGCGGTATTAGCAGCTCCAGCTCTTAATTTAGGCCATACTAATACATTCATGGATGCTATTCTTGGCGACTATCCTTTCATCTTTGAAACATTAAGGAGGGCAGGAATAAATGTATTCCGAGATGACAGTCCAGTAATAAATGATCTTCTCTACACAGCCTCTCAGTTTTTACAACCGGTAACTCAAGTATTCGGTAGCCTTGTTATGGGAGAGGATGACCCATTTCTTTATGACATTGATGGATTGAGCTTCATTTTAGCAAGGTCTGATAATGGATTTGGCATGAGAATGATGGAACATTTATTTCAAAGTGTGCAGTCTGCTGATCTTACTTACTTTAATTATGGGCCTGAAGCAAACCTTGAAATCTATGGAACAGAGACTCCTCCTGAAATTCCGTTAGAGAATATCAATGTTCCGATCGCTTTAATGTTTGCCGGTTCAGATAACACAATTACTGAGCGGGATCAGCAATGGGTCAGAGAGAAGATGAGTGATAATGTCATCTTTGATCATGTTTATGAAGGGTAAGTAAAAATTCCATTTCATCATTATGACTTATTAGAGCATTTCTCAGTTAAGAATATTATTAAATCTTCATATGGATCATCTTAATTTCTTTTAGGTATTCTCATATGTCATTCTTGTATGGAGTTAGACGTAAAGATTATTTGGATGATTTAATTGAAATCACTGAAGTGTACCCAGCAACAATTGCTAACGAAAGTTAACAATCTTCTAATTTAGCACACTTCTAAATTTCAATTATTTAAAACTAAATAGGGGTTTTGGGGTTTTGGGGTTTTGGGGTTTTGGGGTTTTGGGG